GCAGTAGAAAGAATATGTTTTACTTTGGAGTGGGAATGGTTTGTGAAACAGTTTTGGGTGTTACATTTAATGTTAATTAATTACAATAATTCTATGCCACATCCCTACAGAGATAATTTTGTTAGGGCTCATCCCAATGGTAGCCAAAGCCGAGCAAGCAGAGTATACAGTTAGGGTTAGGGTTGAGACAAAATGGAGACACCATTTCTCTTAGTTTAATTTGTGTAAAACAAAATGGATAAATATCAGCAGGTAAATAATAGCAGTAATAAAGGAAGGAAAGAGGTAAAACATAGATAACATCCTTAAAAATACTGAGAGTTTCATACATAAATTCATAAATGTTCTCAGGGAGAAATACAGAAATTGTAAACATCAATATTCAATAGCTTCTAGCAAAAATACATTTGCATGTATACATAGTCTATTAAGGTGGTTAAAAATAGAAACTGAATAAAAACAATACTTAATTGAAGGGCTTGTTCAAATTCTTTGCTATGCTGCTAATTTTTTTTCACACTTTTAGATAGCATTGGTTCAAAGAAACATGTAATTTTGTTTTCCAATATTTATAATACTAACCAACTAAAAACTAACAAGAATAGAAACTGACAGAAAAAATTAATTGCTTATATTGCAACAGTTTACAGAACTTGGAAAATATTTCAATGAACACAGGAGATCACCCATAGACCTAGTTTTTGTTTCATTCCTGGATGGGGAGGCCCTCGTTACAGTAACTCATGCCTTGGACATCTTCCATTTAGATTACTTTAATGGGGCCGTACCTGACGAACATTCAGAAGATACAATCGGCACAGAATGTGGCAACCTGGGAAGTGATGGGTAATTCCCAGTATACCTGGGTGACTCAGTTGCTTTGGGAACTGTACTGGTTGCTGATTAGATCTTCAATGTGATATCCGATGTACTAGTTGTTAACATTTAAGGCCTTTATGGCTTCAGACCTGATTGTCTAAGAGCTCACTTCTCCCTGTCTTCCCATCTGATCCCCTTGAATAGTAGCAACTTCCTCCAGGATGCATCCTTAAGAGATTGCCATCTGATGGCACCTTAGATACAAGCTTTTCATGGTTGGTCCCACCCTCCCTTCTTGCAGAGATTTGGTGAGCACTATCTCTTCTAGTTTTAAGAAAGCTGTTGAGATCTATCTTATCTAGCACAGGAGGATGGCATGCAATGATTGAAAAGGAGGTTTCTGAGCACAGACTTTTCTACACGTAGTCTTTGACTTACAACCAGTCATTTAGTGACCATTTGACGTTCCAATGGATCTACTTAATAGTTACAATTCAGATTCAAAGTTCTGAGAGACAGATAGTTGTGCCCCCAATCATGTGATCATATTTTGGGCACTTGGGCAACCAGGCCATGTTTACAGCTGATGGCAATGTCCTACAGTCATGAAGTGCTTGACGACCATCACAAGTTATGACCATGGTGGGTAGGCTGCATTCTGGTTAGGACTGCCTATATTAACTTGCTTTTACATTTGGTATTTTATGCCTTTGAAGTGTTTCTCCCCTCTTTTTAAACTTTCTTTGGCATACAAAGAATCAAAATTAAAAAACTGTAAATGTCATGACCCATTTTTCCTGATTTGTTGAAAAAACAACATTGTGGACCACACTTAATAACGTAAGTAACTTTGCCACAGAGATAAGTTCTAACTAATGTGAATATAATCTCTCCAATATAACCTAGAAAGATTTTGATTAATGTATTATTATTTTAAAGGGATTTAGGAACATCTGCAGATTATTTTATGATCAACTTTTCGTGACTTGCCCGAACATATTAATCAAGTTCAAATACTCCAAATGTTCCATTTTTTTAAAAAAAAGTAGGATATGGAGTATATTTTTATACTGAAGCAATTTAATTAATTTCAAGAATGTTAGAACCAGCCTAATCTTGGGCAGAATAAAACAACTGCCTCAGTTTTCCCAGTGTTGTGTGTCATGAAAAACTGCTGATTATAAAATTCTACTTTCAAGGTGGGAGATAGTTCTGGGGTTTTTTGCCTCAGCTGTAAAAAAAAAAATTCTTGTTTTGCCTTTAATACTGTTCACATTGAAACAGAGGAGAGGGAATTGTAATCTACTTTGGCTCAAGCTGCAAAATACTGTGGCTGGCCCTGAAAATGGGGGCTGATAACAATTTCATATCTAAGACACAGAAATTGGATTGCCATTATTGTTTTTCATTGTATACCTATTGGATTGGTAAATTGTTCAATCAAAAAAAATATGGCATATGAGTCTAAGGCAGGGGTAGGCAACCTTGGCTCTTTTATGACTCGTGGACTTCAACTCCCAGAATTCTTGAGCCAGCATGGCTGGCTGAGGAATTCTGGGAGTCGAAGTCCACAAGTCATAAAAGAGCCAAGGTTGCCTACCCCTGGTCTAAGGGATCTTCCCTTTAATATCAACACATTGAGCTATAATGTGGTGTTGGCTTTAGGAGGGCAGACCTTACCTCTTTTTGCACAGGAATGCCATTCAGATATTAGTGGATCACTATATCCCAGTGGTTCTCAACCTTTTTAATGCCGCGACCCCCAACCGGTCGTACGTCAAGGACTACTCAACCAGTCGTAAGTCGAGGACTACTCAACTGGTGCAACACCGTTTGCAGAATGGGACTTTTGGCGGGCTCAGCAGGGCAGAGACAGCCTGGACAATTCCTATTGGCTTTTGAAAGCCAATAGAATTAGACTCTATTCAAGAGAGTCTATTCTATTGGCTTTCAAAAGCCAATAGAATAAAAGGGAGTAGCACAGCTAAGGAAAAGGGGAAAAAATGGCGGACTGTGTTGTTTGGCGACCCCCGTGAAATGATCGTTCAACCCCAAATGGGGTCCCGACCCACAGGTTGAGAACCACTGCTATATCCCAAAGGTGCTTATTCCAAAAGGCAAACTAGACTTTCTTGGTTTTTTTTTTTATAACAGCATAGCTGTTATAGATCCAAGGTTAGAGGACACCTGGTTAGATAAGGCTATCTTGAAGGAGACAAATATTGTAGACTATGGCTAGCAGGGTTTAGAATAGATTACAATAGATTAGGAGATTTGTTTTGACTGGCACCCTTACGTGTTCAGTTTTTTTTCTATCCTAGGTCAATGCACATCACAGTTTCAAAACTAGGCTCCCCTATACTTCTTGGGAGTCAGATCAGATATCTCCTTTCCGCAGGAGCTGTTATTGTCAATGAAGTGGTCTTCTGAGAAGGGAATAAGGAAAGTCAGTCCAAAGGAAATGAATTATGGAGAGAACTCCTTGTTAGACAAGGCTGTCTTGTCTACCTTCACTTGGGATCAAATTTAGGAATCTCATATGTAGGCGATAACTATTGAGCTTTAGCTTTGTTCTCTGTAAAGCAGCCTTTTGATAATCTTATAGAGAGGTAGCAGTTGCTAGTGGGCAACTTTCATCACTGCTTTTATTTAGCACAACCCCGTCTATGGTATTCTGTCATTGTTAAGGAATTTGCCGCTCTTAAGTTTCTGTTTATGTTGAGATTTTGCATACTGTATATGACAGCCTTTCTGCTTGCTAAGCTGGATGTGCTGATGTTCTGGCACTCTTTGCATATTTATGGGTGCTGTCAAAGGAGGGAAAATGAAGAGGTGTATCCCAGATCGTCTATCAAATGCATTTGATCCTTAAATCCTTACAGCCAGTTCTGTATGGGTGGTCTGGAGCTTGCTGTATTTTTTTTTCCTCCTCTCCAAATGAAAGAATTATGCTTGGGTTTAGAAAACTGCTTTGGGGCTCTGGCATTTTGTCAAGGGCAGGTTGTTGTTTACATGTAGACACTGCATTTCACTTATCCCATGCAGGCTTATTGCTGACAGCTGCTTTATCCAAGGCAACTTCCATCCTCTCTCCAATAACCATTTCCCATGGATATAGATATCACCATGACCACAGCAGATATATTACCTCAGGTTAATGTTAGTACAAATTAGTATTCCTCAGTTGCTGTTTTAATTTCCATTTTCTTTTGAAACTGGCACACAAAAATATATTAAATGCCCTCTGCCTACTGTATATCCATAGAGTAGTCAAAACCTGGCTCTTATGGAGGGTTTTTGGGGACAAAAATGAAATGATTCTATGCCAAGAATATTGGTGCTATTGACTGACAGCTCTGAGTTGGGTTGGGTTTTTATATTGTTTAATCTTACTTACCAGAATAGGAATTGTGAGCCATTACACTGACTCATAAAGGAAGGGGAAGGAAGGAGAACAAATTCTGCAAAAACATACATCTGTTATGTATGAAACCAAACAGTGTGTGTGTGTGTGTGTGTGTGTGTGTGAGAGAGAGAGAGAGAGAGAGAGAGAGAGAGAGAGAGAGAGAGAGAGAGAGAGAGAGAGAGAGAGAGTGAGTGTCATGTTGCATAATAACATGGCATGGATATAATTAACTATTAAGCCAGCTCAAAGAAAAAATAACCAGATTTCTAACAGTCCTTCAGATGGAAACCCTGATGGTAAATTGTATGCTCAGATATAAAAAGGGAAGTGATTTCTTTAGACAGCTGTATAATTGAGGAAAAATGCATGTATCAATGTTTCTGTGATCACAAAGATATGCATTATACATTGTTCCCTAGTACTTGCCAAACGAGGGATAGATACTTCAAAAGAAGAGTTTCCAGAGTAAAATTAATATATGAAATTACTTCCATTCAAAAGAAAGCTACTATAGCATGTGATCCCAACATGTAATTGTATTTAGATGATCTTATGTTCAATAATTAGCCAAACCTATCAGTTTCTTTCAGGAAAGTGCTTAGCTGTCCAATAGGTATGAATTCATAATTATGTTTACATAATTGTAAAACTATGGAAACATAACATTTGAATGCTAGATGACCTTCATTGATATTCATGATTCAAACATTCTAATCTCTATTTCATACATCCTTAAATAGAGGATAACCGTTGGCTTTTTACTTCATATCCCCAGAAAAATTTGCCGGCACTGTAAGTGTCCACAGTCAGAACACTTTGAAACAGCAATGCCTTTAGAAATGGAGAAGACGGTGACCAAGCTGATGTTTGACTTCCAGAGGAATTCGACTTCTGATGACGATTCGGGCTGTGCCTTGGAAGAATATGCTTGGGTCCCTCCTGGGCTGAAACCAGAACAGGTATTTGCTGTTGTTGCTTGTGCATGATATATGTGTGTAGAAATACAACCATCTCATCAAGTTATAATGTTATAGTGTAGTGTAGTGTAATGTAATGTAATATAATTAATATAATATATAATATAATCTTTAGCTTTCTCAAATGAGACAAGATCATTAGTTCTTGAACAGTCTTTACTGCTATCATGCTATCTTTTATTTGGGAAACAAAGTATCGGCACTACTTAGTTGAACCCAAAAATTAAATCCCCCTCCCCTGGATACAAAGTAACAAAGTACAATTCCCACCCCCAATAAACAGTCATAAAGCACATTCCCCAATTAGCCTGAAGCACGGGCTTTCACCCCAGCTCTCCAGCTCCCCAAAATATTATCAGCTCTGGACCCAGTTTGTCCTTGGATTCCCACAGCAGAGTTATTATTATTAGGACTAACTGAACTCTCATTCCAATCCTCCCTCCCAGCACCAACTAATTCTAAAAGCATAGAGAAAATGGCTGCATTCTCCAGCAGGATGGCTGTAGAGTCCAATGGATGGGTTCTATGACGGCCTTCCTGCCTGGCAGACTGGGTAAAAACTTCGGCCACACCCCTTCCTCTGGGTGTGACCCCAGTTTTGACTCAGTCTCGAAGCCTGGTAGAAGTGCGAGAAGCAGCTCTCAGGACAAAAGGAATTTATCCCAAAAAAGAGAGAAAGGAATCCCCTCTTCCTTCCATTTGAAAGAAAAGCTCTCTGGCAGCTGATAGGACTTAAAAGGCACAGCCAGGATCGGCGGAGTTGTGAGTGGGGCGTCAGGGCGGCTAGCAGGGGAGGCTTGGAACGGGGCCGGATCGCTCGTCGATATCCGGCCCGCTGAGCAGCTGTTCGGCGCGGGGACCTCCCACCGGGTTGCTCGTCGCCCTCCGATCCGCCAAACAGCTGAGTGGCCGACTCGGCTTGGCCGACGGAACCGAGGCGCCGCTCAGCGCGAAACAGCGGAGCCGCGCGGGAAGCGGCAAACCGCGGCGCCGCTCGGCATCGATCAGCTGAGCGGCGCGAAAAGCAGCCCCGACAAGAGCAGAGCCCTAGCGCTGTTTTCCTTCCCCTCAGAGGAGAGGCGCAGCCCCCTTAAGACCAAAGGAGTCTTTCTTACTGCTGAATTCAAAGATCCGCCAGTGCTTAAACCTCGTGGCTTCCCGGGCTACCTTTGGGAGGCGTGGCTTCCTCCCATTCGCCATTTTGAACGAGCGGATCTACCCGCCGTTTCCCTTGGGGGTGGGGCTACCACCCGAACTCCATTTCCCTGCAGACAAAGAAGGGATCCTTTTAGGCAAGGCTCTGGGATTACCTCAAGAAATTGAGGCAAGAGGAAGGAAGAGGGAAAAGGAAGAGAACCGTTCTGATCGTGGTCTGCTGCTACAGCCACAGACTGGGGGAGAGAGAGATACAAACTGCACTTTTGTATGGACTAGGTGAGGAGGTGAGGAGGAATATTTTTCCCTGACTGTTCCTATAGTGACCTTTAGTCACTGCCTTGCAGGATCTTCTGTCCAAAGAATCCTGTCTGTCCGGCCATTGTTTGTATAGGCAGAAGAGGGCACAGCCCCAAGCATCTGCATCTGATCTGCGTACCTCATTCCCCCATTCCAGGCATTGCCTACTCGGGGTGTCTGGCACAATGGCAGACAATGTCTCGTATTCAGTCACACAGGTCCCTCAATTGTCCCCCCCACAGCAGCAACAAAAACGCAGATCTTCTGAATCAGAAGTGGGGGGGAAGAAGAAGGCTAAAACAAAGCACCTTACTCAGAAGGGACAGTCTAAAACGGCTGAGCGAGAGGCTTTGAGGAGACATTTGGCTTTAGAAAGACAAATTAGCAGGGCACAGAGAACCAATGCCAACGGGACAAATCTGGTTTCCCCTGTCCCAGTGGTGGCACCCAGCACAGAACCTACTGCCGAGGAAGTGCTCAAGACTTGGTCTCCTCCTGGGGAAACTGAACAGTTAGATTCCTCCAATCCCTCCTCACCAGATTCTTCTCCTGACCACACTCCAGCGCCTCACCCCAGCGACAAAGCGCAGGAGAACATATGGTCGGCACAATTTCAGGCATTCATGCAGGATGCATTCTCCCAGTTCATGGCTTCTAAGGGCAAGTGGCCTTTCACACACCCCGTAAGGGACGAGCTAGGCCACCCCCTACCAACATCTCTGAGACTTCCTCTCAACTTGGAGAGGGTGACTCAGTAGACCTTGACATGTCAGACATGCCCCTCTCGGAGGATGAGGAGACCGCACCTGAGCAGGCGACGAGCTCTGGCCTCTTTAACCCAGCGCTCCTAAAATCACTCCTGATAAAGGCAGTTTCCACGGTCAGTCTAACATCAGTACAGGATGAGAAGCCCTCCACAAGCAGGGAGGCCAACCCTCTATTTGCCAAAAAGGTTCCACAGGATAAGTACATTCCATGTCCGGAGGTCTTTATGACCACGCTGGAGGAACAATGGTCCTCACTTGCAAGCCCACCGGCACCTAATAGCGCGGAAAGAAAGCTCTTCAACCTATCTCCCTCCTTCTCGAACATGTTAGAGGTTCCTACTGTAGATAACCCCTTGATCTCATTATTTTCTACCTCCGCGATTCCAGGAGACATGGCGGAGGTCTTGAAACCTGAGGAGAAGAAATTTGAACACTCCCTCCGGCGTTCCCACATGGCTGCAGCCTGGGCGGCCAGAGCAGCCACTTCATCATCATTCTTCGCGAGGGCCTGTGTCATGTGGCTGAGGGAACTGCAAGGCACGGTGCCTCCAGACCAGGTCAGAGTACACCAAACATTGGCCAAGCTCCTCGCGGCCTCTCAATTCGTGTCTGACGCTTCACTGTACGCAACAAAGTATGCGGCAAGATCCATTGCGGCCACAGTGGCCTCGCGTAGGCTACTGTGGCTCAAAAATTGGAAGACAGACCTGAGGTCCAAATGGCGTCTCTCGACGTCCAAATACAGTGGAGAAGCCCTATTTGGGTCCATACTGGACCCACATGTCAGCGAAGGCAGAGACAAGAAAAAAATCCTAGTACATCCATCAAAGAAGTTAGACAGGAGAGGCAGTCAGGATTTCCGGAGACAGGGCTTCCGCCCAAGAAGCCCCTGGGAATGGAGACAGCCCTTTCGATCAGGGCAATCCTGGGACTGGCCCAGAGGCTCACGATCCTTCTACCCGAGACAGGATCGAACCCAGGATCGCCAAAGCCCGGGAGCCAGAGGCCAGTTCCAGTCCAGACGCCCATATAGGGGAGCGGGAGGCAGATCCTTTAAGCGTACCAAGTGACGCCAAACAGGACACTCCCATCGGGGGTCGGTTAGGAAATTTCATCGAGGTCTGGGAGCAGACCACCACCGACGCCTGGGTCCTGGAAACGATCAGGCATGGCCTGACCTTAGACTTTTGTTCTCCCCCACCAAGCCGGTTCATCAGATGCCCCATCTCCAGAAAGGTACACAAGACGAGGCTGATAACTTCGGCCATAGCTCACCTCCTGTCAATTCAGGCCATAGAGAGGGTACCAAAGGAAGAGGAGGGAAGAGGATTTTATTCTATCCTCTTCGTTATCCCAAAGACATCAGGAGGGTGGAGAGCAATATTGGACCTGAAGGGCCTGAATTATTTCATCAAGTACAGGAGGTTCAAGATGCACTCCTTGAAATCCATCCTAGCCAGCGTCAGGGAAGACGATCTATTATCCTCAATAGATCTCACAGAGGCGTACCTACACATTCCCATCCATTCCAGCTACCGGAAATTCCTCAGATTCACCTACGCGGGCCGGCATTACCAATACAGGGCCTTACCCTTCGGACTATCCTCAGCACCAAGGGTATTTACCAAGATCCTAACTGTAATAGCGGCCCATCTCAGGTTGATGCCGGTTCGCGTACAGTTTTATCTGGACGACATCTTGATTCAGTCCAGATCTCAGGAACAAGCAAGGGCAGATCTCAAGACCACAATCCGAACCCTACAGGGGCATGGATTCTCGGTCAATTTAAACAAGAGCCACCTCATCCCCTCAAGGAGGCTGCAACACCTAGGAGCGGTGATAGACACGTCACAGTGCCTTTCCCAGGAGCGACTGATCAGCATATCCAAGCTAATTCACCAAATTCAAAAGATCAGGAGAGTGCCCTTGATACAGCTCTCGAAGCTCCTGGGAAAGATGATATCCTGCATGGGCATCATCCCATGGGCAAGGCTCCACTCGAGGGAGTTGCAGTGGTTCCTCCTACCCTACCAGAGGAGGAACCTCAGCACTTCCAACAGGAGAGTGCTGGTACCAGCACAGGTGATAAGATCACTAAAATGGTGGCTATTCCCCCACGACACTCAAGGGGAGCATATTCAGGGAACCGAACAGGGTCACACTCACGACAGACGCGAGCCTGTTCGGATGGGGAGCGCACCTGGGAACCCAGATAGCACAGGGCCAGTGGGGACAGAAGGACCTGTCACACAGCATCAACTGGCTAGAGCTCCGGGCCATCCACCTGGCCCTTCGTCATTTCTCACACCTAGTAACAAGGAGGCACGTCCTCGTACTAACAGACAACGTAGCAGCCAAGGCACATGTAAACAAGGAGGGAGGAACGCGATCAGTGGAACTAATGAAGGAGGCATTGGCTCTGGCTCGGTGGGCAGAAACCAATGTGAGTTCCATCAGAGCGGAACACATCTCAGGGGAGACAAATACCCAGGCAGACTCCCTGAGCAGAGCCAGGGTGGACCAGTCGGAATGGCGTCTGGATCCGGCTCTGTTCGAGGAGATCTCCCGGAGATTCGGACAACCACATCTAGATCTATTTGCCAATCACAAGAACACACAACTCCCCAGGTTCTTTTCCAGAGTCCCGTCCCCGGGATCGGAGGGAACGGATGCTCTCAGGTGTCGGTGGCCGGCGCAACTCCTGTACGCCTTTCCACCGCTGCCCTTAATACCGGCGACCATACGCAAGCTGATTCTGGA